TTCATGCCTAGTACTTCAAGATGCATCTTTTTCTTCCATTTAAAATAAACACTGTACTTTTTGCTTCACTGAAATATAAAAGCGAATCCAAAGAAACACTTTTACCTTTGACCCTCACTTCACCATCCTTCTGTCTTTTTCTATACAAGCTCTGTTCTTTACTTCATTCTTTAACTTGTCTAGGAATTCAATAAAATCTAGAACAGAGTTCTATAAACTGATTGAAAAATCAACAAAGACAAATCACAGAGACCAGTGATAAAAAGATAATTTCTCTCACCCAGCAGCCTAGCACTCTCCAAGCTGCTTCCACAGTAAGGCAAATGAAAAGCAAATGAATGCAGCATATAGACCTACATGTGCAAGGTACCAGTGCACTCACATGCCATTTTCCCCCATTGTTGCTGATGCATCTCTTTATTAGTTGCTTTTGGAGAAATAAGTAGAAAGATGAGTGCGTTTATTAAATCCATTTCACCAGAAAAATTTGCCAACCAGTGTGTAGCTTCCACTGGTAGGAGCAGGAGGGCAAGGAGAAGAGTGCTTTTGTTGCTGCATCTGAAATATAAAGGAGGTAACTTCGTGGGAACCGAGAATGTTTAGAAGTGTCAAGCATATATTATTTGTGGCTATTCCCTCTATTTGACCTTCACATAACTCTCCCATATGACTGTTTCTCCTTCATCTTATACCATAAAATTTAAAAATGAATATTTTGAGGAAACACAGTTCTTTCGAGATGACCATATTCTGCATTATTGTCTTTAGGCAAAAAAAAAAAAAAAAAAAAAAAGGGTTTGTCATTGTGTCTAGCCAACATTTTAGGAGTGACTGCCTCGCAAATTTCTCCCAGTGGCAGTGATAGAGTTTTTCATCTTAGTATGTAACACATTCCCCAAAATGATATCAAAATTGCCTGAGTAGCTTTAGAATCTGAATGGCAAGCATGGGTCAAAACCATGGCTCAACCATTTAACACGTGATGGTTTCTAGTTAGTAGTCCCTGTAGCTAAGAACAAAAACGCCTTCTCAAGGTCCACTAAAATGCCCTGCAGAGGGCAGATGCTGCTTGTTTTCTGCTTACAATGGAAGAGGATATTGACCCAGAACTCAATCTATACCCAGCTTAAACATTTTACCCATCAGCATGTCTGCGGTCACAAAACACTTCTTCTTTCTGTCACTTCACGTTCAGACTATTGATAAGATCATTTGGCTGAATCTGTTTGGGACCTGTGTAATATTGACTAGGAGTTAGAAAAGATGATCAGATGTAATAAGCCCAGAAACTACCTTTCAAAATGGACATTTATACTAAAACCAATGTTCCAAGGAGGACTTTAAATACATCAGCAAACTTGTAAACTAACCCAACGCCGCTTGGATTTCTCACTAACCTTAAAACTGATTTTGGTGAATGTAATGTTCCATCTAAGACTATCTAAAACAATCTGCTATTAGCACCACAGTCTTGAGTGCTCCCATACGTTCTTTTTCTTTTTTAAAAAATTGTTTTAGAGCCTGTTTGCTTGCCTGATGAGAAATAGACACTACTGTATAAACCATTGCAAAATCCATCTTTGTTTTTAAACCTGACAGGAATATATAGGACCTCTCACTTGGTAAACACACATATTGCATATTGTCAGAGTTATTCTTTGTTCAAAGATATTTGTTAATTACTAAAAAAGAATAATCTCCTAAACTAAGCCTTAGTTTGCTGTAGATCCCAAATTATGTGAGGACTTGTGAGTAAAGATTAAAGTCCACCTAGTTCCATTGATGCTCTCCAAAAAAGTGAAATTGTATAAGGTAAAGCTAACACAGAAAGAAAATGCAGGAATATCTGCATATATTTAAAAGGGACAAACATCTCTTTGTTAGACCATGAAATGGCAAACAAATTGAAGCTCAAACCCAATGACCATTTCAATTTAATGCTACAGGTATAGTAGTAAATTGAAAGGTTTGGGATTGATAGTTTTTGGAAAAAAAAAAGTGAATCTGAACAGTAGTCTCGATTAAAAAAAGCCTCTGAAAGTTATAAACGTGAAACCTGGCAGTATATGCATAAAATTTATTCCAAAACTTTATGAAGTATTAAGGAAGGGAACTATTTTACATACAACTTAACTCAGTCAGTATAAGGTCTAGGGTCTTTTCCCCTTAAAACTTGGCACTATTTTTAAAATAAAATAAAGATATTTCAATAATTAGAACAAACTATGAAGGTATTGTGCATTTCTGTTTTATGTAGATAATAAAATATTACTTTAACATAAATATATAAGGATCTCTGCGTTTTTATTTTCCCCACAAGCACAACCAAATGTACCAAAACAAAGTATTTTTAAAGAGACTGAACAAAAAAAATTACATCCCATATAGATTTTGCTCACCTACTCATTTAAAGCTACAGTAAAACAGTTTCCAGAACGTTTTTGCTTTAAAAGAAATAAATATACATTGAGGCAGGCCACTTAAAAATGATATGAAAATATTTCCCTGGGTAGCATTAAAAAAAAGAAAAATAGACAAAGAAACATTTAAACTATTTCTGCATTTCAAAAGACAGATATTAAACATATATACATAGTGGTAAGGTTCAGTGGTAACTTTCATCTTAGTAAACCTCTGGGAATTAGAGGAGCTATAGACACATCCTCTGAACTCCAGCTTCTAACCTTACCCACTTGGTAATAAGAATCTGAAAATTCATTTCCTCCCTTTACCATTGGCTATTTGCCTGCTCTGGATTGCTTCACTAAAGGCCAGTCCCCACACCTCAGGAACAAGCATTGTGATGCACCCCGAAGCAGCTCCATGCCCATCTTCCTGTGACATTCGTTGGTGGAAATGAAATACAGGCAAATAAATATGCCCATTATAAGTCATCATTTATCTTGCAAAAACACTGAAAATGAAACAATCACAGGTATTTGAAAAGACACTATAAAGCATATTTTCTAAAACCTTAACTACTGAGTGCAGTGCTAATCTGATGCTGAACCATAATTTTATGGTATTGAGATTTAATTTTTTAAAATAAAAATTTACCTAATACCTAACCAGAAAAAAAGCCCCGATCTTTTAAGATGAATAAAAGTGGTTTCCCTTTTTGCGCCCTTTTGTGCTGATTATTTTTCAATATTTTAACTGATCACAGTTTAATGGCATTTATTTTAATACAGTTACGGGGTGGGGGAGTTGTTTTGTTTTTTTGTTTTTTTTTTTTTTTTTTTTTTGCTGGTATATCTTTATATATAGAATGCATGTATTCCTGAAAAGTGAGAAGCAAGTAATCTAAGCAAGCATAAAAATACCCACACTTCCCAGTAGAGTCTTTTGTTATGGAAGTTAACCATTTTCCATCAAGATAGGTCAAAATGCACTTAAAACTATTAACAAAAGGAGAAAAAGAAGGATTGAAAATAACATTTTTTCCCACTTCATTTGGCTTCCTTAGTGAAAGAGGGGGGAAAGCTGTCCAAGTCAAACTGGTATGTTTTGTAATAAATTACAAAAGAACAAGAGAAGAAGGTGTGAGACCTTAAATATGACTTGATAAACAAATGGGCTAGTGAAGACAAAACCAGTCTAGAGCGCAAATATTCTCTGTATTCATGTGGGTATTTGTGTGCTAAGAAATACAATATAGGCATACAGCATTAAGTTCTCAGATAATTTTCTTTATGCTTTTAAAAAAGCTATTAGAGGAACAAAGTTTAACTGCTGCTGTGAGCACAAATAATTCCTCATAATGAAGTTATTAAAACTGAAGGCAGAGAACTATACAGGGGGTGTCTGAAGATATAAATTTCCCTCGTTTTCTTCAAAGTGCCACTTTCTTTCTGTTGGACAACTCTGGAAATATATTTAACCTCCACGGTTCCACGGAGCTCTTTCACAATGGGCCCGCTTGATAAAATGAAGCAATCAGTCACTCACTATCGATTTTTCTTTTTCTCTCCTCTGCAGCCACCCCCAGAAACACTGCGTGAAAATGAAGTTTACTTTGCGGCCGGTAACAAAAGCCAATGCTTGACTCTAATTTTTGGATTCCAAACCGGATTCTCACCTTGGATAAAGCGGGTAGACCATGCACATTTCCTGAAAGCAGATAATTATTTATTTTGTATGAAGCCAATCGTTTTGCTTTGGTAAAAAAGAGCAAATAAAAGTTACACCAGTGTAAGGGAGAAGGGATTTGAAGGTAACCAAAGTTCACAAACAGTAAGAACAAGTGGCTACACAAGAATGTTCGAAATGGAGAATGGCCAAGAGCTGGCTTCAACTCTCTCCGCTGAATAAAACAAAACACAAACCCCAGCAATTTCAAAATTAACCGCCGGAGAAAGAAAATTACGTTCATGAATTTATGTAAACTTCAATTTTCTTGCAGTGCAAATTTATGTGGTTAGATTTTGCTTACATCAAAGAATGTGTGTATTTTTTCCTCTTTCCTGATGGGGATCCGCATTAAATAAACACAGCAGCATGTGCCAACTCCTAGCATCAGGAAGCTGTGTTTTGTATTTATCACGGCTTGCTGAATTTTTTTTTTTTTTTTTGGTAATTTCTTTAGTTTTGTCAGGTATTTATCTCACCTCTCTCTCTCTCCCTCCCTCTCTCTCTGTCTCTCACTCATTCACTCACTCACTCTCTCTCTATCTCTGTCTCTCTGTGTGTGTCTCTCTCTCCTCTGTCCCCTCTCTGTCTCTCCGCACACTCTCTCCTCACTCTCTCTCTGAGATACTCCACTCCATTGCCTGGGTACTAGCCTGTAAAGGTCAAAACACATCTTTACACCTGCTACCGTTTAAAGGATAGTCCAGTGCCTTAGTTGTTTTCCTTATTTTTGTTCTTTTTAAGGGACGGGGAAATAATAATTAAAAATAAAAGAACAATCAGAAGTTAGAGAGGGAACAAGGGGCCCGGGAAAGGCTCGTTGATCGAAGGGGAGGGGGAGCCCCACGCTCTGCCCCTCCCCCCGCTCGAGTTCACTGGACGGGCGTCTGCACCCCGTGGTGTGGTGGAGTGTCCCTACTCCCCCCGTACACATCCTCCGCGCCCGGCAAAGTCCCTCCGGGAGGGGTCATCCTTTTCTCTTTCTGTCTCCTGTTACAAAACCAAACTCTCACCACCTCCTTCTCCAGCTGTAAGCTGTCCGCGAGGGAGGTGATCTCCTGGGCCGAGGGCTTGGGGCATTTGAGGAAATGGCTCTCCAGAGCCCCCTTGACGCTCACCTCGATGGAGGTCCGCTTTTTCCTCTTGCGCCCCTGCGCTGCGATCTTGTCTATGCTGGTGGGGCTGCCCGAGGACGAGTCTGCCTCCTCCAACCACTTGTTCAACAAAGGCTTCAGCTTGCACATGTTCTTGAAGCTCAGCTGCAGGGCCTCAAACCTGCAGATGGTGGTCTGCGAGAACACGTTGCCGTACAGGGTGCCCAGCGCCAGCCCCACGTCCGCTTGGGTAAATCCCAGTTTGATCCGTCGCTGCTTGAACTGCTTGGCGAACTGCTCCAGGTCATCCGAGGTCGGCGTGTCCTCGTCCGAGTGCGGGTCGTGGTGCGCTCCGGGGTGGCCTGGCGGGCCCTGCGGGGGCGGCGGCGGCGGTGGTTGCTGGTGCGGGTGCGAATGCGGGTGCGGATGGTGGTCGGCGTGGTGTGGCTCATCGTGCGCGTCCCGCAGGCCGTGGTGGTGCAGCCCAGCCGGCTGCCCTCCGGCGCCCAGCATACCGTTCACGGTGAAGCTGGGCTGTGAGTAGAGCAAGCCGCCGTTGGACGCTCCCATGGAGGGCGGGAGATGCGCTGCAGCCGCCGCGCTCCGCCATGCCCCGGGCCCCGGGTGGTGGTTGGCGGCGTGGTGCACCAGATGCGGCGGCCGCTGCTGTTGCTGCTGCTGTTGCTGTTGCTGCTGC